TTGCGGCAGTTTGAATGAACTGGCGGGATGTCCACGCCCACCCCTCTGGGCATGCGTGGTGGGGTTCCTGCGCATGCCCGAGGGACTGGGCGCGAAAATCCATTAAAAAAGCTTGCTACAGCACCGATCGATCCAGCGCGTGCGCACTAGATCCCATGGGTTTGAATGCACAGATGTTTACTTGAAGATCACCGGTTACTGGTAAGGAACCTGCTTTTTTCCCATCCGCTTTCAAAACATTTTTTAAAAAGTTTATTGCACCTCTACCCTACTGTCAAAACTTCTGTGGTTCACTGGGACCTTCCTCTTGTTCTTCGCCAGCTCATGAGGAAACCCTTTGAGCCACTATCACCGGTTACTGGTAAGGAACCTGCTTTTTTCCCATCCGCTTTCAAAAAGTTTTTTAAAAGGTTTATTGCATCTCTACCCTGCTGTCAAAACTTCTGTGGTTCACTGGGACCTTCCTCTTGTTCTTCGCCAGCTCATGAGGAAACCCTTTGAGCCACTCGCAACTTGCGATATGAAATGTCTGTAGTGGAAGACGGCCTTTCTGGTTGCTGTCACCTTTGCAAGGCGAGTTGGAGAAATACTGGCTTTCAGGCATGACACGCCATACTTGTCCTTTTTACCAGACGGCATCCGCCTCGTACCGGACATCTCGTTCCTGCCAAAGGTAGTATCAGAACCCTCCTCCAGGTAGGCTACTGCTCGCTAATCTCCCATTGGTGTGAAGCACAGAGACCATGTCAAAGATAAACAGATTGCTTACCTGTAACTGATGACCACACGCCTTCCTTCCCCGCTGCTGTTAGCTTCTACATTTTCAATAGGGGTTGATTTGCGGTGGTTTGAAAAAACTGGCGGGATGTCCGCGCCCTTCCCTCTGGGCATTCGTGGTGGGGTTCCTGCGCATGTCTGAGGTCTGGGCGCGAAAATCCATTAAAGAGCTTGGTACAATGCTGATTGATCCAGCGCGTACGCACCAGATCCCATGGGTGTGAATGCACAGATGACCACTCGAAGATCATCAGTTACAGGTAAGCAACCTGTTTTTCTCAGTGAGGAGGCAATAGGAAAGCCTCAGCTGCTATGCCCTATTGTGAGATCTCCAGAGGGACTGGTTGGCCACTGTGAGATAGGATGCTGAACTAGATGACTCATCCAGTAGGTCTCTTATATTCTTAAGCAGAGTTTCATTTCCACAGCTCCTATTTGGGAGCCAGTTTGGTGTAGTGGTTAAGTGTGCAGACTCTAATCTGGGAGAACCGGGTTTGATTTCCCCACTCCTCCACTTGCACCTGCTGATGTGACCTTGGGGCAAGCCATAGTTCAGGCACAGCTGTTCTTGAAAAAAAGCAGTTTCTGTCAGAGCTCTCTCAGCTCCACCTATCTCACAGGGTGTCTGTTGTGGGGAGGGGAAGGGAAAGGAGTTTGTAAGCTGCTCTGAGATTCCTTTGGGTAGTGAAAGGTGGGGTATAAATCCAATCTCCTCCTCTTCTCTGAGCCATGGAAAATTTTTACAGTTGGCAGGAGATTTAGAGCCCCTGTTTGGTTGTGAATCTTGTGGGGATTTGGTCTGTTTTTGAAACCCTCAAGTTTTATTATGGGAAAGGGCAGAAAAAGAGGTAAAGTATTACTGGGTTGAATGCTCATGATGTGTAGGAGTAGCTTATTTGCTAGTTTATAGTCCACTACTATTGAATACACATAGCTCAGAGGAGAAGCAGCAAGGGGAAAGAGCGTAGATAAAAAGATTTGCTTTAGGGCAAAGGGAGCTTTTCTCTCCCCCCTCCCCCCAATAAATTAGACAAGAACTCTTAGAATGGTATATGATGTGTCAAAGAAAAAAGACTTGTTTGAATCAACCCCACCAGAATTCCTTAATCTTGAAATTAAAAAAAAAAACCTTGTCTAAAACTACCTTCCACACATCCCACTCTCATTCAGTGGTTAGGAAATGACTTAGCTAGTGTTATACAAAAGACTCAGGAAGGACTCAAGAGATGCAAGTAACCTGCAACTCAAGTGGCACCTAGGCACATAACTTTCAGCTTTACCTCTAATTACAAACTATTATTCATAATTTCAAATTATAGAAAGTGCTTTAGTCTGAAAGGTAATGATAATCGGTTGGATCATACCAACTTTTCCAAAGGCAAAAGAGGATATGACACCTTTTGATCACACAGAAGGCTATGCTAGGGGCTTAAGGCACCTGGGTGGGTGAAAAACCATATGGGACACGGCTGCAATGCCGAGATGATCTGACAGATCACACCTCCTTCCTCTTGTAGCACCAGTGTTAGCAGAATTCAACCCCATGTTTACTTTGGATAAACTTGAATCTGCACAGTTTTGAAACATGAAATTAAAGTTGTCTTCACACACATTGGTGGTTTTAGAACAAAGTGTATGAATAGCCCTTTCCACTGGTAAAATAAGGGCTGTACTACCTGTGACCAGTAAGGCAAATGTATGCCTCTCTATACCACTGCCATCTGTAATCCTACACAGGGAACAAGAATACGTTCAGAAAGCCTCTAGTAGTGATTATTATGCAACTGGTTGAATACTAAAGGCAGGATAGTTTTCTTTCACCAACTTCCTAAACAACTCATTTTGCTTTGGAATCAACTGGAAGATGTCAAATCCAACTGCTGTCACAAAAGAGGAGATCAGAAAGTTCTAAAACATGGGTCCCTAACATGGCACCTTGCCAACACCTTTCCTAATGCCTGCCAAGTGTTTTTAGAAAATGAATGGGGCCAGGTGGGGCTCTTGTCCAACAGAGCTTCTAACTGGCTGCAGATTAAAATAACTCCGGTTTGGTGACAGATGACACCACTGTGCTAGTTTTATTCTCTCACTCCTCTTTCCCACTATATACTTTTAAATTACCCTTCTTCTTCCACTACAGTAGTAAACTCCAGACATTCAGATTAAGTACAATAAAATCACCACACACTATGAAAGCAAATTTCTTACAAAACATACACAACACACATGATTTTTTTGCATTTTTATAAAATCTGCAAATATACCACAAATTATGCTAAATATGCACACATTTCATTCAAAGAAATGAAAGTAAATATATCTCTTCTATATACAGTTTAAATCCAAATTTACAATTGCATCATTTTCATGGAGGAGGTGGCACAGATTGAACACAGGTTTGAGATAAACAATTTCAGAACATTGAAAAGATGCTATATAAAATGTGTGTCATCAATTCCTAGTTTCTTTTCAAAACAGAGCAGTTCTAAAAGGTTAGTATGAGTGTAGAAATTACTTGGAAATCCAGATACTCAAATATGCGTATTCATAATTGTTCTATTCAATTCCAGAAGGCATCATGACAGAAAAATGTAATGTACTGCAACTCTTTCTGCCATAGAAATCCATTAAAATTAATGTTGGATCATTTAGTATCTCTTCCAGTAATAAGGCAAACAGTGTTCGACTTCTAGAAATGTATCTGAAGCCTGCCAAGTTTCACTGGTTTGCTATATATATGATAAAAATACACCTATTTAGTCTACTCCAACTTTAAGGAGGCCTTCCTTTTCTTTATTCTAATCATTTTAAAATCACAATAACTGAAACTATTTAGAAATTACAGGTGATAAATCCAGTTATCTTCCACCTCCCAATATAAGAAATTCGCTTTTGAATTAATCATTTACATTTAAGGAAAATGATATCTTGACCAATTTAAAGTCAGTTGGTCTTGGACACCAGAGCATAATATTTAACTTTATTCATACTCATTCTGGCACTGAATTTTTTTGTGTCGGAGTGCTAGATTTTTAAAAATTCCTCTTGAAACTGTGTCAAATATTGAAATATAATTACATGCTTAAAAATCATCCTTCTTGCAGTGTGTGTTACATACATGGAAAAGAGAAATTAAATGGAAAACACAGTACCTCACTAACCAGAGGGTAATTTGAGAGCCCATCTACCATTTGCCTGCTTAAACTAGTTTATTAAATATGACAATTGCAGTTACACCCCTTTCCCTCTAATCTATTTTGCTCAAGTACAAATAAGAACCAGCATAAAAGAAAACATCTTAAAAACCAAATAGATTGATGTGTAATGCAAAACTCTCCACTCAACCCCAAATTACAAAGATCCTGAAATAAAAGAACTAGACAGCAGAAAAACTTAATGGAATTCAGCACCCAAGAAACGTGCACAATCCTATACGTTGTGGAGTGTGCATGTTACAAAAAATATGTAGTTATATGTGCATTTACCAAATTAAATCCTCTCTTTCTGTATTAAAAATATGTCATCTCTTTTTGGCTTCCATAAGCAGAAATAATAATGGAAACTGAATGAAATAAAAGCTTTACGTTGTACAAGTATCCCATAACTTCTTGACGAAGTATGAGCTGAAATGTAAGGCATCCTAAAATATTTTTGCATACTGTACTGGAATGGAGTTCCTGTAAACTGAAGGTCAGGGATAACACTACCTAGACCAGAAGATGTTTCTCTAGGATCTCTCAGATGATCCCAAAACCCAGTACAATTGATCAAGGGGAAGTATCTGGAACTTAATCTTGTGAGAAAGCAAATGCAATCCTTCGTTTTCCTATACATTTGTTTTTTAATCAAACATTAAAATAGCTCTCCCTGAAGATCCTTGAGCGAAAATACTGGCATTAGGAGTTGATCTCAAGGTTTAAGCTTAATGAAAGTCTATTGCTCAGTTATGTCACTTCTTGATTTTGTGGCAGTATTGTTCTGGTGTGTGCTGTTACTCAACTCCTGTACAGTATTTGCAGTGGGAAAGTTTATTGGAACTTGAGCCTGAGAGGCAGCTGTGGAATTACCAGCAAAGGTTTTGGAAGAACTGGACTGATGCTGATGATGATCATTCTCCTCACCAGTTAAATTCCTTTTCCTCCCAGGTTCTTCACCAATAGGAGGCTGAAATAATGAGCAAATTATAATTCACTTAGAATGGCTATCTAACAAGCAAGTTCCTATTCATGAATCTGAAATCATAAAGCAACAATGAAACACACACGCAGGGATCAATGCCCCCCAGAAAAGTTTTGTTCAGCAAAATACCAATAATAATGTTTGTTTTTTAAAAGGGTCAAACACAAGGTATCAAAAAACAGAGGAGGTGAAAAAAATTCATTCTCATTTTAAGCCTCTCCTGATTCTGAACACTAAGGGTTATTTGAAATGATGGACTGCCACAAATATCACAAAGTCTGTAAAGCAGGTATCAAACACAATACATTAACATCATCATGTGTTTTGATCTCTAAGTCCAGCTTTGCTCCAGCAGCCAGTATCTGGCTGTTATTTACACAAATGTTATGTGCATTTATTTTGTGTACAGCATGAGGAACCACCACTGAGTGGTGCTGTCCCCTCCTTTTTTCATTGTACCATCAATATTATCAAGAAAGCACAAGCAGCATACTGAATAGGTTGTCCAGTCCTTCCACAGAATAATTCCAATTTCTCAGTGAACCCAGATTAATTAATCAGCTATACAGGAGGCTGCTTGCATGTCTAAACATGTCAAATTTGAAGCAGCATAGAAAGCCATGGCCTGGAATTTTAAAGGTGTGATGCAAATTTTGAGTTAGACTGGTAAATGAGTACCATACTGGTAAACTACATGACAGAGACAGCCCTCACTACTGCATAAAGCTGACAATCCTTCTTTGTCCGGGCACTGAACAGGTAAGAAAATCTAAAAGCTACTCCAATCATAACAGGCTTTTGACTAGTTTACATTAATTTTGACTTTAGAACATAAGAGAAGCCATGTTGGATTAGGCCAGTGGGCCATCCAGTCCAACGCTCTGTGTCACACAGTGGCCAAAGCCCAGGTGCCAGCAGCAGGGCCAGAACTCTAGAAGCCCTTCCACTGTTGCCCCCAAGCACCAAGAATACAGAGCATCATGGTCCCAGACATAGTGTTCCATCTATACTTTATGACTAACAATCACTGATAAATCGCTGCTCCATATGTTTATCCAATCCCCTCTTGAAGCTGTCTAAGCTTGTAGCCATCACCACCTCCTGTGGCAGTGAATTCCACGTGTTAATTACTCTTTGGGTTTCCACATTTTAATTACTCTTTGAGTAGGCAGTTTAAATTACTCAGCTAACTCAGTTTACTATCTGCTAAGAAGATGTTTACCACTTACATCAACTCTGAAATCTTCCAATCTTTTAAAGTTACAGAGGTATTCTTGAAGTTTTGCATCAATAGGTGGAGTCTTAGACTGTGAATACTTCAGATAAGCCCAAAATTTTTCAAGTCCATATAGCTGACCTAGTAATAAAAATAACATGTTGAGATACCTAAAAATCAATTATGAAATGAAGTAATATAAAGAGATCATTATCAACAAGGTATTACCAGATTCATAGTCTCTTTTCGTTTCTTCTTGGAAATCTCTGAAGATCTCTTGCCTGAATTTTTTCTCCAGCCCATAGCTGTAAAAACGGAACAAACATTCCAGACCATACCTGTTGAATAAATAACATTACAAAGATGTCTTTTATCCACAACTGATTGCAGTGTTTCAATGCTGTATGGCGAACAAAGGTCAGCCATGTGAAATAGGGGAATTTATACAGGGACCTCAGTTTTCATGACCTAATTTCTTCTGTGGCCTCCTATTCAAGACTACTTAAGATCAAGAAGAGGAAGAAGAGCCAGTGCCTTGCTCCTTGGTGGGAATGTCAGTGCAACAGATCATGTTACAAAAGACCACCCAAGATATAATGAGGAATGTTTCAAGCAAGGGGAAAACAAAATATGCAAATAGGATAAAAGACTATGCTTTACAGTAGTTGATCATAAACATCAGAGCCCTGCTGTATCAGATAAATAAGGGGTTATACTCCCTCTAAAAGAGCAGGAGTGTAGGGGTCTTCCTTGATTCCTTGCTGTCTGTGGACAGCCATTGGCAAAACTTGCCAGGAAAGCCTTATTTCAGCTTAGGCTAGTTCCTAGTTGCACTGTTCCTGAAAAAAAGTTGATTGGGCCATTGTTAGACATGTCTCAGTGATGTCCTGATTCAGTTATAACCAATGTTCTCTTTAAGCTGTGGAATCTTGTGAGCAAAATTCTACTTTGTGAGCTACTGGCATTAAAGTTGTGAGCAAGTGATTTGGCTACTGCATAAATTAGTTTGATCTGGAGCCCTCCTTCCTGAGTTAAGACAAAAATGTGTGAGCTGGGGGCTAAAAAATTGTGAGCTAGCTCACACTAACTCAGCTTAGAGGGAACACTGAATTTCTAATGTACACTACATGAAGCTGTCCTTGAGTACAGATTGGAAAATTCAGCTAGTTCAAAATGCAGCTACTAGAGTTCTGATTGGAACTTGCTGTAATGCTTCTCCAACTGCACTAATCAACCTATTTAAGACCCCAGACAGATGAACGGCTTCCTGCGGGGACCTGCCTTATTTTAAATTGGGCTGTAGGGATCTGTGACAAGCCCTTTTCAACAGCTGCCTCTAGATTATGGAACTGTCTCCCAGGCAAGAACTGCACCCTTCAGGCCTCCCAGAGTAGACAAAAGATGCTGTTATTCTGCACAGACTTTGAGGTATGTGTTATCATTGTTTTGCTGTACTCTTGCGTTAACTGATGAGAGTTCATATGGCTTTTATTTATAATTTTTTTGCTTCTGTTTTGATTGTTTTAGTGTTTTAATGTATTTTATAGATGATTTTCTTAGTCTGGATGTAAACTGCCTTTGGTACTCCTAGTGGGCAGAAAAGAGGTTATATAAATCAAAACTAAGATGTGAATCTGTTGCACAAATTTTAACAAAGGAAAAAAACAAGAACTGACAAAATGTGTTGACAATAAGACAAATGAAAATAGTTTAACAAGCATATTACTGAAAAAGTTACAACAAATCAATCAGCAAACTAGCCAAGGAGTCAGTTAAGCTATTGTGCAACATTGGTAATGAAAAAAGTTAATAAAAAGATCTTTTTGCTTCAGTCTTAACTGAGGAAGATGTTGGACAGATACTTATGCCCTAAATCATCTTTTGGGTGAATGACATCTAGAGAACTAATCCAATAAAAGAAGCAAGAGAGAAAGTTCTGGAGCCAATTTAAAGTTAACAAGCCATCAGATACAAACAGCATATACTCAAGGAATTCTGAGAAGTTTGTGTGTAGAAGTTTCTAGGTTGTAATAAAATCTGCAACTTGTCATTAAATATGGGCTCCTCCAACACATCAAATTTTAAAAAAGAATCCAAAGGGGAAAACAGGAAGTTACAATTATGTTTTGCTAAAATCTGTCCAGGGTAAATTGGTGGAAATCATTATTAAAACTTAAATTGCTAAGCCTATAGGAAGTCCTCCCTCATTAATCTTTTAGAATTCTTTGAAAGAGTGACCAGTAAACACATACATTATAGGCAATTCTCTGATATAATTGAAATTGGATTCTGAGGGAAGGGATGGATAGGAAAAATATCCTACTATGAGCACCAGTAGCAAAAAAAGTGCTCATAGTAGCTAATCTTTCCTGTCATCCCTTCCCTCATCCCATCCAGGCAATGTCAGGGGTTGGGGGACCTGCAAAGACAAAACTCATGCAACACAGAATGCTTCAAGTAAGGACAGGGCCAGGTTAAGATATGCTGAGGCCCTAAACTCAAGTTTAAGAGACTCTATAAAGGTAAAGGTAAAGGTTCCCTTGCTCAAAAGCCAGTCGAATCCGACTCTAGGGTTGCGGTGCTCATCTCCGTTTCAAAGCCGAAGAGCCAGCGCTGTCCGAAGACATTTCCGTGGTCATGTGGCCGGCATGACTAAACACCAAGGCGCACGGAACGCTGTTACCTTCCCACCGAAGTGGTCCCTATTTATCTACTTGCAATTTCTTGCTTTCGAACTGCTAGGTTGGCAGGAGCTGGAACTAGAGACAGGAGCTCACCCTGTCTTGCAGCACCCGGGTCTTGAACCGCTGAACTACTGACCTTCCACAGCCTGCAGTTCAGCGTCTTAACCACTTGAGCCACCGCAGCTCCAAGAGACTCTATAGCATTACTTAAAAACAGTAATTTTTAAAATTTAGCTTTGCTTAATTATCAGCTTACTTAGCTTGTGTATAAATCCAGTGAGAAGGGGGAATTGTGTGAAACTGCCCCCTCCTGACTGCAGAGCATCTTATAACAGCAAAACACTGCTGAAGGAAAAGGCAGAGGAGGTAACTTTGCCTGTTATCCCCACCTCACTTCAGCTGCCCATGTTATGAGATTTTCTGTCCATGCTGAGCCTTTTTAATTCAAAAAAAGAAAAGGGGAGATCTGTGCAGAACTAAGGGAACTTCAGAGGACGGCGGAAGACAGGAAGGCCTGGTGTGATCTGGTCCATGGGGTCGCGAAGAGTCGGACTCTACTGTTCGACTGAACAACAAAAGACTCTACTGTTCAACTGAACAAAAAAAAAAAGGGAAAATGAAATAGGAAGGAAGGAAGGAAGGAAGGAAGGAAGGAAGGAACCGCTTGCACTGTATTGCCTGAACACTACTTCCCTTTTCCTGCATGCTGCCAGCTGCTGTTTCCTGGCTACCACCAGTTTCTGCATGTCACTTTAAGGTACTAAGGCAAACTAAAATGCTACCTTATCCCGTCTTGCAATGTCTGTGCATGCATACAGAGAAGATTTTGCATCCCAGGATTAGTTGTCTTCAAAAAAGCTAAGATTTTCCTTCAGAGCTGGGGATTCCCTATGTTTTCACCACCCTATATTGCAATCACGACTAGCTTAACTGTGAGCACTATCTGCATGAGGGCCAGCCCCTCACCATTAGATATAGTCATGATGGAGGAAGTGGTGGCAGGGGGAAGGGGGGTACAAAGTGGAGAAAGACAACACTAAGAGTTACCCAATGAAATTAATGGGCCAGAACAGACAAAGCGCTTCACACAACATACTAATGTATGGAGAAACAGGTTGCTTACCAGTAACTGGTGATCTTCGAGTGGTCATCTGTGCATTAACACCAATGGGATCTAGTGCGCACGTGCTGGATCGATCGGTGCTGTAGCAAGCTCTTTTAACGGATTTTCGCGCCCAATCCCTCGGGTGTGCACAGGAACCCCACCGCGCATGCCCAGAGGGGAGGGCGCGGACATCCTGCCAGTTCCTACAAACCGCCGCAAATCAACCCCTATTCAAAATGTAGAAGCTGAGAGCAGCAGGGAAGGAGGGTGGGTGGTGTGAATGCACAGATGACCACTCGAAGATCACCAGTTATTGGTAAGCAACCTGTTTATCTTCAACGTGGTCTCTATGCTTCACACCAATGGGAGATTAGCGAGTAGTAGCCTACCTGGAGGAGGGTGCTGGCAGGAATATTACTGCGTAGCCGAAGATGAAATGCGACGTCCCATGTTGGTATTAGAGTTCTTTCGGACGTCTAGGGCGTAGTGCCTGATGAAGGTGTTAGGCGTGGCCCAGGTAGCGGCTTTGCAAATGTCCAGCAGTGGTACTCCCTGAAGGAAAGCAGTGGAAGTCGCAACAGCCCTGGTAGAATGAGCCCTGATTGGGCCAGGCAATGGGTGTTTGGCGATCTGGTAACATAGATGGATCAGACCTACAATCCACTTCGACAGGCGTTGAGCCGTGATGCGAGTACCCAGCCGTGCCGGAGCGTACGAGACGAATAGTTGCGAGTCTCATCTAGTTGGGAGTGTTCTGTTGACGTAAAACAGGAGTGCGCCTTTCACATCTAAAGTGTGTAACATCTTTTCTTCCGCTGATATTGGATTTGGGAAGAAGTTAGGGAGGAAGACCTCCGCCTGCAGGTGGAACTCTGACACCACCTTCGGCAGGAAGGAGATGTCCGGGAGGACTCCATCTGGCAGGAATGACAGGAAAGGGGTATCATGGCGGAAGGCCAACAGTTCTCCCACTCGCCTAGTTGAGGTAATGGGAATTTAAAAGGCTGTTTTCCATGCCAGGAATTTGAGATCGCATGTTGCAAGCGGCTCAAATGGCTTCTGCATAAGCTGCCGGAGAACAAGGGGAAGGTCCCAAGGAACAACTGGAGTCTTGACAGGAGGGTAGAGGTGTAACAAACCTTTTAAAAACTGTTTGGAAATCAGATGAGAAAACAACTGGAACATGGTAGGCCGAAAGAGCGGCCAAATAAACTCGTAACGATG